CAGTTAGAGCAAAACAATCAGTAAACAACGCATTTATATGGAAGCAATAAATCTAAATGAATGTCTCTTTGAAGAATTGGAAGTGAAGAATGGAATTGCAACAGCCATTGGGAGATAAGGCGTCATATATAGTCTACTATAATAGATGAATGAGCTGCTTTAAAACCCCCAAATTGAGTATAAATAAAACTGCTTTGCAACAGATAAGCAAGACAGCTATATGATGGGTTTGGCTAAGACATTAAAACATATTAAGTATTATTGGGTACCATTGAAATAATATATGTAAGCCCCAGAACACAAAGTATGTAGCCATCGATCTAGCTTAAAGTAAGTAAGTGGTGCAGCCACTTAGCTTGGAAGGGAGGAAATACAAAAACATCTAGCTTAGAAAAACTAGAGCCATATAATTTATTGAACAAATATTATAGCAAGTTAACTCACAAGGTCGAAAAGCTGTAAGAAATTAGTTCAAAAAGAAGATAACTTGTGTATGCTCGTTCTCAACCCCTAATCTCACACACGAAAATCATTCTCTAGGTCACTTCCTCTCTCGAACTCCACACAACGCCTCACGGAAGGAAAATGGAGGGGGCGAAAGAAAAAACTACCCTCTTTCCTCACAGAATGATCAGGAAAAGAGAAAGGAGGTCCGCCTCGCTCTCTCTGCTCTCTCGCCCTTTCGTATGCCAAGAAAGCCAAAAACGAAGCCTGCCACCTCTCCGCCAAGAGGTAGAGCTATGCTCGGACTACAATGAAAAAAAGACATAGACTAGTATATTTTACTAGATATTATTAGGTATTACATGTATTTAATTATATATTTCTCTGTATTATTATGTATTAGTTAGTATACAATAATACACATCAATGCACAAATAAGTATTACTATGTATTATTAAGCAGTATTGTGTATTGATGTGTATTACTGTGTAGTGCACAACAATACAGAATAATATCTAGTAAAACATATTCATATTTAGTCAATGTGTCATATTTTCTTTGGATTTCGAACTTAGCTTCTACGTCCGATGTCCGCTAGTAATAATTTTTCCTCCATCATAGAGGAGAAATTATTATGTGTCGAGTCCAGACGGCCGACCACATTGCCTGTACATTGTGTACAAATATGTACACAACTTATATACAATTTGTACATAGCCTGTGTACAGACTAACGTGGCCTGTTCTGATTGGAGTCCGTACGGAAGCTACGTCCAAACTCCAAACGTAATATTTCTCCTGCCATGTACGGTCGAAAGAAACCTTATGCTTTGTTCAACAACAACATCAAGCCTTTGTCCCACTACATAGGGTCGGCAAATTATGATCCTACCCTCTAACATGTCTTGAGTCAATGGTTTAGATTAAATGCCTCATTATATATATATCGGGAGGGGGAGGGGGCAGACCCATTCTTAATTTTCGAGGGAGGGGCAAGTAACTGTTGGTGTTGCCTCAAATTTTGCTTGCCCCTTGGCTAAAAAAAAGGGTCAATAGCGACCAAATAATAGAGACAAAAAGAAAATGGCCGCTAAATATGATTAATCATTCAATTCTACAAAATGTATGTTGAAGTTGCCTTGAATTTGGCTTGACCCATATTTGTTCATATCCTTGATCGTTGTGCGCTTCGTAGGTATGTCACGGTCCAAGGGACAGTACCCCCTGGCAAGGTTTAACGGGCCCGATCAGGTCGCGGGGTTTAGGGGCAGTGCCCTTACGAAGTTTCCTGGGCGCAGCGCCCCAAAAAAAATTTTTTTTTTTGTTGTAAGGATATTTTTGAAATTCAAATTAATAAATAAAATGATGAATTATCTTTAGTATTTCTCTTTGTATTTGGTTTGTCGTTCCCTAATAATTACATCTCTATACAATGTGTTTAATTATGCTGTGGACAATTGCCTAAAAACCATAGTGATAGCTAAAACTCTCAGTCAACAAATAAATGTGAATTGCGCCCCTAATAACTCATAAAACCTGGAATGCAGGCTGCTGCTCTTAACACAACATTTGATCAAGCTTCTTAGTTGATTTAAAAGAGTGTTGGATAATTATAATGAGGTAAATAACTGCTGCTTTTAGAAAGGAAATTTGATTTGAGCAAAATTGAATACAACTTGGTTCAATTCAGATTTGGACAAACCTTATTCTGATTTGATTTATTCTGAGTTGATTGTCTCGAATCCATACGATACGGGCAAATTTTGATTTTAGTCAATTAAACTAACTAAGCACAATTTATTTTAATTCAGTTTTAATTAGACCGCTTTGGCATAATTAAATTTAATTAGATTTTACTCGAATTAATGTTGATTTTTAGATTAATTTGACTTAATTTAATTTTGCTTGGCGACTCAATTTAAATCGAACTCACTCAACCTCAATGCAGATTGAGTCATTCTAAGTCAAGAATAGAGTGTCTTCTAATAATATTCTTCTTATTGTCAAACTTTTATCTGACTTCAAACTTTATAAAAAATAACTATTTTTTTCTCTGCCAAGTTTGCCATCATTACAACCTTTGACACTGTTTACAAAAATTTCATTCTTAGTAGCCTTGATGATAAAGGATTGTCTAATTTGTTTATTGCTTGGATTAAGGCGTGCATTGAGAATGTCTATTTTTTGTTTGTCTTAATGGAGATTTGGATGGGTTTTTCAACTCTATTTCAGCCATTAGGCAAGGCTGCTTGTTGTCACCATATATCTTTTATGTATTGCTCTTCATGGGCTTTCTGCCCTATTCAATCAAGCTATGTTGGAAGGCACTTTCTCTAGGATTTAAGTGGGTAATTTTTGTATTACTCATTTTCTTTATGCTGATGATTTACTATTTTTGGAAAAGCTACTACTGATAATCTCCATGCTTTGAATAATATTCTTCATTATTTTGGCGAGGCTTCTGGGCTCAAATTTAATACTTCCAAGAGCTTCATTATGTATTCTAGGAATCATGATAACAATGCTTCTCTTAGTGCTATTCTTAATTTCTCTACTGAAGCTTCTATCACAAATTACCTTAGCATTCTTATATATATATATATATATAAGACTCAAGATTTTTATTTTCAGATGTTAGTTACCAAGATTTCTTCTCTTTTAGAAGGTTGGAAAAGTAAATCTCTTTCCCTTGCTGGTAGGGTGCAATATCTGAAATTTACTATTTTAAATAATATTGCTTATTGGATTAAAGGGGCTATTTTACCTAAAACTTATATCAAACATCTCAACAAGCTTTGTGTTAGGTTTCTTTATTATAGTGACATTCACTCAAGGAAGCTTTAGCTCATATCTTGGAAAAAATCTTTCTTCCTAGGCTTAATGGTGGACTTGGTATTCCTTACATTTTGGACCTCATTTTTGCTTACAACTGTGCATTGATTTGGAGATGTATATCACGTATTTTTCTCTTGAGTATTTATTGTAAGACAAAATACACCTCATTCTAGAATGATAGCTTTTGGAAATATTCTAACTGGTGGCAAGCTATTAGTGGCACTACTGATTAAATGAAAGCCTCTTTAAGCTTCATTATTAGGCCAACTTGCCAGTTTTCTCCATTGGGACCCTTGGATCTAAGGCAAGTTTATTGCCAACATGGATGGTGGTTATGTCTTCATTATTAATGGGATTTGGCATCTCCCCTCCACTCTACCTAAGCATATCAGAGATTCTATCTCTACTATCTCAATCTCTTTCTCTGCTTCAGATAGTCTGAATTAGAAAGGGTTATCAAATCCTAGCGTCAAAATTTTTATTAATCATTTATATGTTAATGTTGACTCTCCTGGTTGGGCAAGGATGTTATAGCATTAAAGGCACTCATTGCATTTTTTCAGTTTATGGTTGGCTTTGCTTAATGGGTAGATTGAAAACTATGGATACTCTTATTAAAAGAAGCATTCAGGTGCATCCCGATTGAGTCCTTTGTAATAACTTTCATAAAAGCTCAAATCACATGTACTTTGTATGTGATTTTTCATTTCATTTGTTATGTAATTTACTCCCTTTCTATTCTTCCTTTTACTTGAGGCCAAATATGTATCAAATTATGAGTTTTGTGGAAGATCATATGGATATTTCACAAGACATCAAAAATGGTTTCTACTTATCTATTTGGGCCTTGGTTATTATATCTGGAAAGAAAGAAATGAGAGAAAGTGTGGAATACATTGTTGTAGTCTTGTTACTGTTCGATCTTGCATCTTTAAGGCTGTCATGCCCCGAGATCTAACTTGGAAAGAATGTCAATTAACCAGCCATGTACCAGAGTTATCTACAATTCTCCAATTAATCACCGTCTAAACAAAAGTCTATAAATTAAAAACATCAATAACAAGTCGATTCATATCTCAAAAGTTCATGTACAATACTCAGGAACTACACTACAATCACAAGTACAGAAATCTATCGGACGATCCAGTCCAGAAATCATTCCAGAAAACACTCCAGAAATCAGCCGTTTTCAATGCACTGATCGGCCTGGACGATCTCAATATCGTCCCGGCCGATCCTGGGAGGAAAATCCAATTCAGAGAGGAACAGTAAGGGAACGAGATCTCACAAAGGCTATCTACCTTAAGCTCCAAAAATGAAAACATTAGCATACCTTCAAAGGAATTCTTTGGCATTAATTTTTGGGGCTCTGTTTGGCCTGACCACTTTAGTGAGCTTTGAATTTTTGGCCTTTGGATAGTGATGAGTATTTTTATGTCACCTAGATTCTCTCCTTGGATGTGATTTCTCCTATGACAACCAGGAGTGCTGCTAAACTTTATTTACGTGTTTGGATATTTGTTGGTTGCCATCTGAGTCTATAAATTTTTTATTATTATTTATAATTTCATTACACTATACTTTTTGTGTTACCCAAATTATTGCTTTGATTTATGACTTTTTAGCATTGCAAGTTTTTGATTGCAAACCTCATAGAATATATCATATTCTGAGTTGCATATTTCTCTTTGTAATTTTCTTACATTAATGAAAATTTATTAGTCCCTCAATTTCACTGATTATTCATAATTTATTACTCATTCAGTTAAAACTAATCTTCCGTCCTCCTGGTTGCGCTTTCCTTGGCCTCCGTAGGAAATCAAAATGGCGGCGTGGATCTCGTCCCCTTTCGCCGCCGTCGCTCGCACAGCCATCAAAACCCTATGCTTCCTCTTCAACGTCCTCCACCTCCCTAGCCGGAGCTGGAGCTCTTCCCGCGACGAGTTCAACTCCGCTGACGCTAGCGATGCCGTTGCCGTTTCCATCACCGAAGATCCTGAAACCGGCATCCTTCCATTTGGCGAATCTCTTCTCTATAGACTCTCCCAGTACATCCCCCAACATCGCCACAACCTTTATCCTCGTGATTCCGATGACCGGCCTCGCCGCTGCGACCGCTATAACGCGCTCATGAAGACGTTCGATCGGTTCGGCAACGCCGACGAGGCTCTCCGTCTCCTGCGCGAGATAAAAACCCCCAACGTTATCTGCTACACTACTGCCATGGACGCCCTCGTCCGTGCCGGACGCTGCGAAGAAGCCGAGTCCGTCTTCAGCGAAATGATATCATTGGGGATCGCTCCCGATTCCGTCGCCTACTCCATCCTCGTTAAGATGTACTGTTTCCATCACAAACGCTTCGTTTCTGCCCGCAATATTATTCAGTTAATGGTGGATCGAGGCTGCGAACGGGATGTTGTGACGTATTCGACCGTAATCGCGGGACTCTGCCGTGCCGGTAAAGTGGATGATGCTTTCTCTGTTTTGAATTTAATGCTGAAGGATAATTGCATGCTCAATGCTCACACCTACACCCCCATCATTCAGGCTTACTGCGCTTTAGGGAAGATCGATTTGGCCATGGAGCTAATGGAAAAGATGAGGAGCTTGGGGTGCCCTCCCGACGTTGTGAGTTATAACGTACTTATCCATGCGTTCTGTAATAAAGGGGATTTTGCGGAGGTCGAGAGAATTCTTAGAGAGAGTTCCAATAATGGGTGGGAACCAGACTCTGTTTCATACAATACTTACATCAGCGGGCTATGCAATATGGGGATGACTGATGAGGCATTAAAGCAGCTGGATTTTATGCTGGAGAAGGCATTGCAGCCAACTGAAGTTACTTTAAATATAATGCTAGGCATGTTGTGTCGTGATTCGAAGATTACGGAGATTATATTCCTTTTGGCGAGAAGCTTCGAGCTCGGGCTTGATGTTGGTGCTGCTAGCTATAACATCGCCATGACTAGGCTATGTGAGATCGGAGAATTTTCAGCTGTTTTGAAGCTCTTATCCGATATGCTCAAGAAGGGAATTAGACCTGACGTGCAGACCTTCAACATTGTTATTATGAGCCTTTGTAGGGCTGGAAAGCTTCACAAGGCTAAGCATATTTTTAAAAGCAAGGGGTTTACTCCAGATATTGTGACCTGTAATATCCTATTACATGAGTTTTGTTTGGCGGGGGAGTTTGCAGAATTTCATCAGCTGGTTGCTGAGCTGGGTTCTGGACAGGTTTCCCCCGACGCAATCACCTACAATATAATTGTGGACGGTCTTTGTTGGGATGGTAAGTTTTCAAAGGCTATCGAGTTTGTTAGGTCCATTGATTTGGAATTCAAATCTGATCATGTTGCACATCTGGCATTTGGGTTAGTTAAGGGTGGAAGGGTTGGAGATTTGTTAAGGTTACTTGGAGAAATGATTGAGAAGGGTTTACTGCTAGATGTTCGCTTGTTTGAATTTATGATTCAAGCATTCTGTAAGAAGGGTTCTTGTGAGAGCATAGAGATATACAAAATCTGTCTTATTCTGGACAAAATGCTTCGAAGGGAATAGTACTCGGTGAGATTTACATATTCGACAGTTTGCATTCCTAATCAGAGTAATTTTTGAATGCGTGCTTGTTTCAGGTAGTTTTCACTTGTCCGATGTAAATTGCAGGCTTTTGACATTGAAATCAAGCACATGCAAAACCTGTAACTTTCTTCTATTCTTTTAGTCGAACTTGTATAAATTTGAACAAAATTTCTATGGCATAGATATGTGTACACCCGACACTTTTCATAGTCAATTTATTGAATTCTTTCAACGTCTCGGAGTGCAAGTTGTGGCATTCCTTCCTCTATGTATTCATTTTTTTTCTTTCACGTGTGTAGTTTCAGTTTAATTCATGTTACAATTATCACCACTTTGGATCATGGAGGACTGAAGTTCCCCTCAACTTTTTTATTAATCAAGGCACTTAGATATTTAGTTGGCTTTCACACAAATCTCCATGCACTTTACCCATGATTGGTGCTCTTCATTTGCAAATGATCTTGGACCACCTTTGTATTTTATGTGAGTTACCTTCGCATGAATGGAGCCAGTGGTGGTTACTACAACTTAAATTTTTTCAGCATCTTACATAACTTATGAACTTAGGTTTACTTTAATGCTTCAACAGCTTTGAACTTTAGCAAAATTATCTGCTAATGTTCTCGCCCATACAAATAGCTTAGAGGAGCAACACTTTTTTTTTATCAAGATAGTTGCATATTAAACTTCTTCATCTTGATCATTCTCTTGCCATCTTCCGTGAAAAACTGATTTTTTTTTAGCTCCTTCTGACATCTCAAGAGCACTAATCTTTTCCATATCCTTTTTTTCTGCTTTTGATTTGCTTGTCTTCAGTTGGCTGTATGTACTTGAATCTTATTTTCGATAGGCTTTACTTGTTGCTTTGTTCTATTTACATTTTGATCTTCTTGATAGAGTAAAAAGGTTGGGATTCTACTGAACTTCCTATTTAGACATTGGACGGGTATAAGGGAAAAAAAAAAGAAAGAAAGACGTACACCTTCAACAATATTGAGTCTTCTGGAATGTTGTGAGTTGCAAATAAAAATTAGCAATGCTCAATACAAAACGCACAAAAGAAATCATAGAAAGAAAATAACAATAGAAAAAACACAAAACCACAAAACTTAGAAATGTTTTTTTTCCCCTTCCTTCCTTTGTGATCTCTATCTATCTTTGCATATTATATCCTTGAAGGACAGATTCAATATAGACCAATCATCATATTCATTACTGCTAGTGGACATTAATTTTGTTAAGTGAGATTTTTCATGTGACTGATGGCTTATGTATCTAGGATTTAAGTTTAAGGGGAACTGTTTAAGGCATTAAAAATATGAGTTAGAATTCTTATCATTTGGGGCTAAGGAGTATAGCTTGAAGGGTATTTTGAGGGAGTTTAGAAATTTTCTTAGGCTTCGTTTGAGACAGCTTTTTTAATTCTTCTAAAAACAGTTTTTTAGTACAAAATTTTTAATATTTGTAATAAAAATTTACTTTAAGAAGCAGCAATAAAGCCGTCCCAACAAAGCCTTAGTTTGTTGATTTCTCCTTAGTTTAGTCATTCTCATTCCATAAGACAAGCTTGCCAATTTGAGGGACCTTTGTTTCTACAATAAACTTGGGGCATTTGTGGAGTTTTCATATATATATATATATATTTGCAGGATAAAAGCTTTTCTTGTTGTTGTTTTTTTTTTCTTTCAATAATTGCACCATTTTTCTTGGGGGAGAAAACTTCTATTCTTCTTTTGGTGAGGAGTCAATGAAAACAAGTTTATTATATTGAGGTTCCATGATTGTCAGGATAAATGTTTTAGAGAGAGGGTTGTCGAGACTTATTATCATTCTTTCTTCTTAGTTCGCATGAGTGAGAAGACTTCATTTAGATATTATAGATTTTATCTGCTTAAGATCTGAAGATGAATTTGATAGAATTCATTATTGAGTCTTGCAATAAACTCCAACATTTTTTTTTTTCTCTTTTTATAAATTATTTGAGAATTATATCATCATTGTTATACTTCATCTTGCAATCTTGATAGTATTATTGTTCAAGCTAGTATTCATTTTATTGCATTAAATTATTCAATGAGAAGAAGTTTATCTTGCTTTGTTGTTGTGACTCATCTTTAATTTTTTTAGCATATTTGTTTAACATCTCAATTATTTTTTTGTGGTTATTAGGTATATTTATGGCCTGTTAATTTCAATCATCATGGCGTTCTATAATCATGAAATATGCTTCATCCTAAGGTGTAAATTTTGGGTCTTTCAAATCTAAAGGATGATCTGCAAGATGATGAACCTTTTTTTTTTGCTTTTAAAAAAGTCTTCATAATTTAGAACAACTTGACATAGCATCTTACATTCAAGCAATATAAAACTTGTAGTCAATGAAGTTGTTTTTTTTTATTATTTAATTTTTGCCATTCCTAATGATCAACTCTTTGGAGATGAAGTCAAAGAAATCAGATATGATGAAGAGAAGAATAAAATAAAAACACGAACTAAAATTGATCAATCGCGAAAGGATCTGTTATCTAATGCTTTAAATATATATATATATAATAATGAGTTCAAATAATATATTTGATAATTTATTGTTCAGCGATTATAACAATGCCAAAAAGAAAAATACTTCCAATTTTAGATCAGATCAGCAAAGTGAACAATTAGCGAAAAAAACTTTTTGTTGTTTATATTTCAACAAAGAAGATAAATAAATATCATATCGTCATATTACAAGAAAGAGATTTAAAAAGCACAGGGCCTACTTCTTTGAGAAAAGAAATTAATAGATCATTATAGCCAGTTCAGCCAACCCAGCAGCTTTACTCTTTCATACTGTCCGACTGCTCCTGGAAGCCAGCATTACTTACAACCTGAACGTCGAGAAAAAACAAAGGATATTTTAAGATTTCATCTTGTTTGATCATCAGTAGGAGTAATGAACCTTACCTTGATTTGTTTGTTAGATGATCTATAAGTATAAGGTGAATGATCTATAAGTGCCAATTTATAATGTGATTTTAATATGTAATTTATAGGTATAAATTATATATAAATAAATTAGTAGTAAGTTATAATAAATTTATAAATTTATTATAACAAAATCTATAGTAAATGTAAATTCAATTTAAAGATTTAAGATATTTAAATTTTAAATTATTGAAGATATTATTTGTGTATAAATTCTATTTATTTTTAATCACAAATTTATATTATTACATTATTATTATCACTATTATGTCATTTAATTCTTATTTAAATTATGTTAATATTTATTATATCATCTTATTCAACCCTAAACCTTGAATCATGAACCTTTCTTTATTTTGATCGTATCTCTCATTTGATTTTCACAACCTTAACCAAACTATGATTGTTATCTTTGAATGAAGACTTAAATAAGAGCTGTGAACTATAATAATAATAATAATAATAATGAGATAACATATACAATGGATGAAAGGGTAAGCTTTATTACCAAAGAGCCGATCAACTCATAAGCTTCCATTACTTTGGGATCTTCCTCATCTTCGTAGCCAAGTTGCAGTATTCGTGGGCCGTTGACAGACCACAAAGCACTTCTCCCAGCGTCCTGAGAAACACATAGCCAGAGCATCTCATATGTTTTTGTAACATTAAAAAAAAAAAAAGGTACAGCAAGACATGCGAATTGAGAAATAAATTCTTCTTACCATTTATTTTCCTAAAGCTGTTGCCATTAAATTTTTAAAAATGAATACGCAAATGGATTGACATAAAAATAAAAGCCAAATTTTACATCAATGCAATTTATGGATTATTGTTTCAGCTTTCTAACCTGCAACGCAATTAAGTAGAGAGCTTCCAATGCCTGCTTGCGAATTTCTGGATCATCAACTGGCTCTCGTTCATGAGAAAGTGCATTAGCCAGCTCAAGAGGCATCTTTGCCGTATCTTGTTCACTGTAAGACTGAGCAAAATATATCATACAAGAGAAAATATGTGCATTCTCAGAAGCAAATACAGAAAAATGAATATGTTTTTCAACTTCATCAATGTTAGAAGCACTAAAGAACCCAAGTCAAGAAAACATACACCAAACAATAACAGCAATAAAGCTAACAATTATTTAAATTCATTGCATTTCTAAGCAGCATGACCACCAAGAACGAAATTTGTTCCAACACAACGCAACAAAAAGCACCAAGCACGCATAGATGGTCAAAACTCGATAGTTAAGAATTTATTGTAACTTACAGGGTTCTTCACTCGATAGTTAAGAACGATTAGTCACATGATATGATAATCCTTCAAAATTTTTGTACGACTTTAGGAAAGTGGGCCCATCAATTCCAATAAAGATCAAAATATTAATCAGCCACATCAACAGCAGCAGGACTGGGAAATTTATAATTGCTTATGAACTGATCCAAAAGAGTCTAATGCATATACACCTGACAAAAGAAAAGAGAAATGGGAATGGTAGATGCTGTGGTTCCGTTGTCGGGTGTCTATTTAAAACAACAACAATAACAACAAGCCTTCATCTCATTATATGAGATACTACATGAATCTTTTTTCTCCATCGTATCCTAATAAGAGTCAAATTCATATTTAAATTTAATAAAAAAGGATCATTTTAATACATTCTAACCAAATTTTTTTAGGTATACCTCTACCTTTTTAAACATAGGCCGGATCTAATATATCCACTCTCCCATCAAGGTCATTGAAAAGCTGGCATTTCATACGACCAAACCATCTAAGTCGACTCTCTAATCTTATTTGCCACTGGAGCTACTCAAAACTTTTCACATACATACTAGTCTTACATTTTGTCTCTAACTGTAAAGCCACTCATCCACCTGAGCATCCTTATCTCTGCAACATTTAATTTAATTTTATACTTCTCTTCTAATGCCCAACATTTTGCATCATAAAATATTTCAAGTCTCTCACTATCTTATAAAAATTTTCCTCAAATTTGAGGGGCACTTTTCTATCACACAACAGACCCGATGCATTCCTCCACTTCAACCATCCAACTTGATTTTTACCGATAATATCTCAATCTATTTCCCCATTACTTTGAACAATAGACACGAGATATCTAAAACATGCACTCTTTTTAATTACTTGATCACCCAATGTCACAATCCCGTCACCAGATCTATTATTAGTAAAAGTACACTTCATTTGTTTGGTTTTAGATCTACTCAAATGCGACCGTTTAGACTCTAAGGTTGAGCTTCATCATTCAAATTTTCCATCAACTCCCTCACTAGCCTTATCAAGAAGAAGAAAATCATAAGCAAAAAAATTCACCGTGTGTGTATTTAAAACGATTTTTCAATTGGAGTCACTTATGAAAAAGATTAGTTAACGACAATAGTTCTACCAAGGGAGAAAATTAGGGTTAGATGAATGTAGGAAGGTAGAGGATAGAGTCGCATGGCGTGGAACCCTATAGCCTTCAATATATTCTTTTATTAATTAGTATATCAAGAAACAAACAACCAAAAATAAAGATAATCTTTGTTTAATTTGTACATGTAATTTTATTAAAGAAATTTACATACATAGTGTTAGATTTCTATATATTTACATATTTAGCATCTAATTCCTTCTGTATACCAATATATCATCCAAATTTTTAAATAACATAAAAAATACCAATTTATGCCCCTCCTTTAACTTATCCTAACTATACTTCCCTCGCCTCATCACTTTGCCTAATTGGTTGGAATTCGCCAACATAGAGCTCTCCTTTGTCCTTCGTCTTATGAGCTAGAGTTGTCTTCCATTCCTCGTCCAAATAGTAAACAATTCAAAGAGAAATTCACAAAATTTGTGATGAAGGCGAAGAGGTGAAATAAAGGCTGGCTAATGGGGCTGATTTTGACAAGCTCTATGGCTAGAACCCTCTATGGTGGCAACATTCATCCATTTATGCAAAGAAAATCAAGGAAGCATAGTTAGGATGACTTAATGGAGAAGCGCAAAGTGATGTTTTTGATGTTATTTAAAACGTAGATGGTATGCAGGTAAATAAAAGGATTTAGATGTTAAAGATATAAATAGATAAAAAAATTTGTGCTAGGTAAATCCCCCTTTCATTAAATACTTAATCAACAGTTAAATCATCAAATTCTACAATTAATTTATTAACTTCACAGTATGCATTATTTCTTTATGCTCACATTCATGAATAAATTTAATTTTAATTAGAAGTTCATGTTCAAATAAGAACTCATCTCAATAACAAATTTAGATTTGTTGTTTACCAAAAAAAGGTTCTTGATAATATTTTAATGTAGATGCAGGTTCAAATTCAACATCTAATGTCAATTCATATAATAATTATGAATCATCATTTTTTTATAAAAGAGTGGAAATATATTCCAAAAATTCAGATTTAAAGTTGGACATAAAGCAAGTTATTATAAGTAGCCTTAAGACCAGGTAGAAATATCAAATATGGAGGTAGCAAGGTCAATAGTAGATGGAATTCAACGCAAGAAGCTAGTAAATATTTATGGGAACCAAGGGCATACTGCTTGAGCTAAAACTCCTTGTATGTAACTACACGTCATGTTTAGCATATGATATATCATCAAAAGAGTATTCGTAAATTATAATTTTCTCAATAAGATCAAATTTAATCCTGCATCATGCATGATTCTGATATTGGCTTGGGTTTGACAGGCTTTAGAAGTGATGATAAAGATTTCTCTTTTAGGCTGTTAAGCAAAATTTCAATAGCCCTTATAGAAATACTGTAATAATCCTCGATATCCAAATCACTATATAAAGCCACATGTAATATTTGAAAAAAATGAAATCTTGGTACAGCCTTAATTTCTAGCCATTGACCTTTGATGAAATAGAAAATGGTAACATAGTGAGAAAGCACGCAAAATTCTTACATCACCTCAAGAATCAATCATGCTACAATGGCACAAACAACATTATTTATCTTTTCTCATAATAGTTAAGAGGCAGGAAAAATAATACTTACCTCAGTTGCATGCTATGTTTCACCGATACTCCTATTTACGAAGGCATGCTGTGTTGGACACACGTCGGATACGGATACGCGCCCGATACGGAACGGATACGTGTCAGACACGGAAGCCAAGTCCAATTAAAATACTACTTAAATTAGACAGGATGCGTGTATCCTGTTAAAAACCCAAAAAAATGACAGGAGCCTATTCATTTCGGCGACCCGCTCTTATTTCTTGTCTGCAACTGCAAGGGCTTAAGCATTTCAGCGACTAGAACTTCAAGTTAGAGTTTCGAACAGCTGTGCGTCTTCTTGGTTGTCGTCAAAGGAGCATCACACAAGCAAGTCTATGGGAAGCCGAAGGAGCAGTGAAGCTAATGGCAGTGAAGATACATCCATCATCGACGTCAGCGGTGAAGCCTACCAGGTGCATCCCATTCGCTTCTTCATTTTTGCGAGAAGCTGACAATTTGACTCAAACAGTAAGCAACAGAGGAACACACGAGCAACTAGACTACCGAACGAGCCTTTCTTCATTTTCGCGTGAAGGTTCATTTTCTTCATCTTCTTCATCGTCCTTCTTGTAGAAAATTTTTTTAATAGCTTTTATTTTCCTGTAAAGATTTTTCTTTTATTTTCCTGTATATCTCTCATTTCTGAAAACCAAAGATTAGTTCACTTCCACATGAAAATGCAGAGAGGAACAATATTAAATGAAATGCTCTCTTCTCATTTCTATGTAAAAGAGAAATGAAAATAATATATTTGTTTTCCTTTACGTCTCAAAAAAAATAAAAATCTCTTATCAAATCATGTAGTCTTTTCTGACAGCATATGTAGCTATTTGAATTGGAACTAGAAATCTCTTGGATAAAATTATTAACATAAGCTATTTTATATGGTTATGAATTTGGTTCATGTTTCAAATTCATGTGGTTTAATGATGTAGACATAACATTCACATATTTTCTGATAGCAAATATAGCCTAGCAAAGCTTCTCATGGTTGAAATGGATTTGGAGCATTCTCTTCCAATTAGGTTCAGCCTATGATGTAACAGATTACATTATCCTTACAAGTTACAAGTATCATAATAAGCACTAATTTCTTCAATAAATACTTAAATCTCATTAAAATCATTTATCTCATTACCTACTTTCTCCACATCCATACATGAGGTTCTCCTCAACGAGTTTCTCCATAGTTAAAAATTTCAAATATGAGGAAGACATGTTTGAAGCGTTATTTTCCAAATGAGGAGGAGAGAAGAAGTGTCAATATAGAGCTTACTAATTTTTTTTGTTATTTGGAGGACTTTAGTGACCAAGGGTCCTTACATGATTGATGGCGAATTGATTAAAAAAATGTGGTGGTTGATACATAGAGCTTCAATACCACTATTTCAAACAATCGCCATAAAACTTCTTGGCCAAGTTTTATCCTCATCTTGTTGTGAAAGAAATTGGAGCACATACTCTTTCATCCAATCAATGAAGATAAATAAAATTACTCCACAACGGGCTGAAGATTTAGTTTGTGTGCATACAAACATTTGGATTCTATCAAGGAAAACTTCAACTTACATGAAAGGAGATAATAGGATGTGGGATGTGGGATGTAGATGGAGATGGTTTTGAATATCTTGAAGATATGAGAATATTAGAAATTGCTAATCTTTCACTTGATGAGCCTGAATTGGAATATATGATATTCATTGAAGATGATATAGAAGTTCAAAGACAAACCACTGAAAAAGCTAATCCTATCATTCCTTCTATTGAATAGTTAAAACTTCATGTGCTAGACAATTTATGTTTTCGATTTGGTAGTTGTACTGGACATTTAATGCTTACTTTTATTTTGAAATTATAAGCTATAAAGCTAGTAGGCTACAAATGACGTTGCTTTCATTTTTTTTCATTTCAAATATTATGCTTTGATTGCTTTCTTAATTTTTATGCATGATTTATAAATTATAATGATGTATCCGTGCCGTGCTCGTATCCTGTATTTTTAAGAATTGACGTGTCTCGTATATGCCGTGTCATCATATCCGTATCGATGCAACATAGGTTGCACGGTATACAATTGTGAGTTCACCTTCATGGTTTTAATTTCTTTCTCATTGTTGTTTGATTATAACATTCTTTCAATCCAACATGGTGTTGTATAGGTTATTGTGGTGGTGTAACAAAGTATTTCAAGGAGTTGCAGCACTGTACAAATAATTGAGATCAAATAAGAATACTTCCATGCCAATACCTTCTTTCCTGCAACAGGTAGAAGTAGAGCTGGCCAAAGAAACTCTGATAACATTAACAAATTCTGCAGTTGCCTATCTGCATCAAAACAACAATTGCGGATAGTTCCCAACACCTAGAAAGTTTGAATGAACTGCATTAGAGTCCGTGGTTAAAAATAACTTGGACTGTTGAAAACATTTGAGCTAAGGTAACATTTCTAAACATGCAATGTGCAGATTTAAATTATCAAACAAAATACAATTACTAAATCTAAAATAGAGAAAGTACCAACAAATAGAAAACCTTTTACCCTAATCTTTCAGTATAACAAAGAAATAGGACAGACATGTCAAACAAATACAGTAGACTACAAGGAACAACAAATCTGCATACTGCATTTCAATCTATTGATTGTTAATGATTAACAACGACAAGTTCTTCCTAAGATATCATTAAATAAAACTCTAGAAGAGGTCCATGTTAATCAAATATGAATTTTAAACGCATCACCCTTAATAAGAAATACAGCTAGAAGAAAATGAATAATGTTTAATGCATGTTCAGCGGAAATCTAACGCGATGCACCATATATCTAAATTGGCAAATGGGCTTTGCTTTATTATGATTTGGAAGAGTAAAATATTACATACTCCTTTCTTCCTCAGTGGATTTGCCGAGTCTGATTGCCTTATGATTTGCTTAAGTAGGCTTCCCTTTGGCTGCAACAAAATTCTTCTTCCAGCTTCCATTTTTGAAACATTCACAATAATTGAAGCGACATGTTCATAGGTACTCTCTGTGAAAAATACAATTTATAAGCAATAAAACAAAAACTCTCCCCAGATAAGGTTAGCTCCTCTCCCTTGGGTGCTTGTTTCCCTTTTCTTTAAATTCCGCATACAAAGCAATGAAGCATTGTAAATTTTACCAACGGTTAACAATAAGACAGCAAGACATGATAAATAACAAACCAGTTGAGTCACTGGAAGAAGATCTGCAAAACGACCTAACAAGCTTGGAGAGAAACAAGCCTTCAAATTTATCATCACCAACCTGAACAAGCAAGAGCAACAAACATACAGGATTACTGAATTGGACGTAACTTTCATGATTTCATCCAAACAATAAATTATGCATATTGCAACAAATCTTGGAAAAATACCTGCAGTAGGGAAGAGATGCCAGAGTCCAATTGGGTGAGATTGACTAACAGCATAACAAGAAGCTTCGAAAGCCTACCATCGCTACCCCCCTGCTTGTAAATCACCTCCACTGCCGTATCAACGGCTCGGAGCGAGACAAGCTTCTCAGCTAGGGTCGGGTTTTGGGAGAGGTTGATGAGCGCCTCAGCGGCGGGAACAGCAAGCTCTGAGACATCGCGAAGAAGGCGGCAAAGCGGTGGGAGAACGAAGTCCGAACACGAGGCCAGGGTCTCGATGCCGCCATCGGAGCCCGTTAGGCCACGGACGATGTCCAACGCGGCCTTCTTCACCTGGTTTCTCGAGAGGAGATATTCGTAAACAAAAATGGAGAGAGGAACGGAGACAGATAGTTGGGAGGAGAAGGGAATACTTGTGTAGAAGGCGAGGAGAGAAAACCAAGGAGCTCTTCGAGTTCGTCCGCCATCTGAGAAAGACGAGAAAAGTAAGAGAGGAAAGTTGGGAGACCTTCGGTTTCTTCCGATAGCCTAGATTATGGTGCAAATTATTGAACAATTATTACATCCTCCATCCAATTGGATGTAGAAGAGAGTTCGATTTTAGGTAAAAACATGTCTATATCGAGGTGTACCGAGATTTTTGAAAAAACTCAAACAACTCGGTACACGGCGCATTTTTGCCTAAAACCGAACGCTCCTCTACATCCTTACAGCGAACGAAATAAAAGTTCCAAATTATTGGGTCAGTTGATCGAACGCAGAGATAGGTACGAATATTAATAAAATATTATTTTAAATAAAATGCAGGTAAAGTGTAACTAAAGTGTAAGTCAAAAAGCGTAGGTAAAGCGCAGGTAAAGCACAAGTAAAACGCAAGTCAAAAGCGTAGGTGACGCGGCAAATTTTTATTGGATGTCCGAACTTATTTTTCGTCTCCGATCACCTAACCCAATAATTTGCTAGATTATGGAGCTTTTATTCTGTGGGGAAACGGGACAGAGATCCGGTTAAGCACGGGGTACCATCCTTATTGGGCGCTGGTATCAAGCTGGGTACCCACCTCAGGTGGTCAAATTATTGCATCTGGTCATCGGACACGGATGATAGGTTCGGACATCCAATAAAAACTTGCCACGTCACCTGCTCGTTTAACTGCGCTTTTGACTTACGCTTTATTTGCGCTTTGACTGTGCTTTACCTGTGCTTTTGACTTGCGCTTTGCCTGTGCTTTTCCTGCACTTTACCTGTGATTTTCCTACACTTAATTTAAAATAATATTTTATTAATATTCGAACCTATCTTCCCGTCCGATGACCGGATGAAATAATTTGCCCCTCACGTGGTGTATTTTTATTAGTTCCCGGACGCCCTTGGCATTCCGCACATAATAATAAATCTAGATATATTATGACCAATTTAGTAGTAATTCCGGTTCACATGTATGTATAATTTTTTTATATATATTTAGGTCAATTAAGTCAAATTCATGCACATATCACATATACACGACTCAAATCTAAGACCTTTTAGTTGATAGCCTAAGCACCCAGCCAATAGGCCAATGTGAGTTATGTATGCATATTTTTTTTAAAGAGATCTGTTATATTTTTTGGGTGGGTGACTTAATTGGATGTTAATTCTGAGATTTAAATGGGTTCATTATATACCTAAGAAAAAAAAAGTTTATATATTTAAATATTTATATGGGTTCTTGATTTTTTTAGCTAGAAGCTTTGGATATTAAATAGGAGTTCTTCAGTTCGAAGTTTGTATTTGTGATATGTGTATGAATTTGACTTAATTGATTTAAAAATCTTAAAACAAATATTTATTTATATAATAGCTAATATTCATTTTTTTTAATATATATATTAGCTACATAAATAAATAAGACTTATGTGAAATGCAAGTAAATCCTCCACAAAATTATATTAAAATAATTTTAGATGTTACAAACTTACAATACTATTAGGAGGAATTCAGTTAACCTCTTAGCATGATTTTCCTTTAAATCTTATTTAAGGTGGCCAATTAAATAACCCTTTGTCCTTATATTCCATGTTTTGAAAATCAGACCATACCGGTCGGTCCGATCAGTTCAACTGAGAACCGGTCTGAAGTCCGGTCCGGTTCAACCTTAAAAATCGGTTGTGCACCAAACCGGCTAGAACCGGTTTGAACCGTCGGTTCAATCGGGAACCGGTGAACTGGTTTTAATATATTATAAAATTTTTATTTTTATAATATGAATATTTTTTTATTTTTTTGGTAAATTTTACCTTTTTAGTTAATAAAATTTTTATTTTTTCAATTTAATTTTTTATATTTAATTATATATATTATAAAACCTTGAGCCTCTCATTCTTCTGGTTCGTTGTTCGGTCCGGTTTTCACAACCTTGCTTATAATTGTGTCCAAAACTCTAAAATTTAAATTAGTTTTAAATTTATTCCAGAGAAAAATCACACCTTATGTTCTACTGAAAGTCTTAAAATCAAAATTTATTTATCTCAAAGGAGTCATACGATTTAATCATTGATAAATGAATCAAAAACAAATTAATGACATGATTAAATTCCTCTTATCATATCTTCTATATAGTGATTGTGTGTCCTTTTTCATAATGTAGATGAAAAATTGTCAATATGTATGTCAACAGTCAAATCATAACAGTTACATTTATATGATCATTAAATAAATGCATAAATAATAAAATTCACATGCAGCAGTAGTATAATCTGTAAATAATAAAACAATATGGTATAGAAGTCAATAAAGTAATAAACCAATACAAGTGTTAAATCTATAAAGCAATCATCATATCTGTAATATCAATCAGTACATAAATCGTATAAAGCATCAAATTAAAACATTAGTAAAGATTGTTGAAATTATGTCAATGCAATAAAATCGTATAAGAGTGTATACGTACCATCCAAGTATTCTATATCACAGGATCATTATATCAAATGCTTAGTATCAGTACAGTGAATCAGTAGTATCAAAAAAAAAATTTTTTTTTGAGAAAACCCACAGCAGGGCCTACGCGTTAATAATGATAAAAATACCATGTCCTTAGTGGATCAGAAGCTGGCTAAAAAAATAGCATTTGAAATAAATCTAAGAGATGTAGATCCTATCAATTACAGGAAAATAAAAATAAAGCAAATAATAAATACAAAAAAAAAACAAAGAAGAAAAGCACCAATGGCAGCAAACATCCAGACCACCATCCCAATAATGGCTACCATGAGCAATCAAACATCAGCCCAATGAACACTCTCCAAAACAGCTCCCAAAAGAACAGACAAACGATCTAAAAAGTGGCAGACCAATGAACAGTCTCCACCAAGAGCAACCAATATGCTCGAGAACAATACCATAAAGGGAATAAAAACCTATAAGGACAAGCAAAACCAAAAGGAAGATGGGGTAGCAACCCAACCACACAACCAACACCTCACATCCACCAACAAGCAGAAGGGCCATCAACAAAGCCACCAGCTAAACAACATTCATACAACCAAATAACTACCTTAGAGATTTTCTCTTACAATGCTTACTTCCACAAGAAAGCACTTTCTCAATTGCCAGATAAACATCTAAACCATACAATTCCTTAAATGAGTCATCTTGCTCAACATCCAAATCCTCAACCCATCACCCAACAATGACGGATACCCATCATGCCAAACTGAATGCCCAGAGCATATGACCCCCAAATTAGATAGAAATTGAGCATATAAACAATTTGGGGACATGATAATTATAGGCACCTCAACTAGCAACTATGGCCCCATCGATATAATGGATTAACCACCAACAGTAACCAAGGCCCCCAACACAACAGCTTCCACCTCACCATCCTCCTCCACCTCAGCATGAGACAAAGCCAAAGCACAAGCCCCCATATTTTTAAGGCCACTCAATTGCTTACCCCCTACCACCATAGGATATACAACATGTGAAACAAAACCACCACCACTATTAAAAACAATCTCACCAAGATCCTTAACCAAGTTAAGCAAAGGAGAAACAACACCATCATCAACTTGATCACAATTAATCACTTGATTCACTAACAAAATGCCTTGAGCCACATTAAAGTCCTGTGAAGAAGGTTCAACATCCACATCACCATGAGTCACATTAAAGTCATACGAAGAAGAATCAACAGCCACTGCCCCGACCTTGTCAGGGACCAATGATTCATTTCCAACCAAAGGAGATTCAATGCCAATATCAACACCAGCTTCAGGAGGAACTAACTCTCCCATCTGATCGAGTAAATCATTCACAGGGAAAATAACATCATCAATAGGGTTCTCACCCGAAAGAATTGGAACCACATTAGCAACAAATTTATCACCCACGTCCATATCTAAACCAACCACATTAGGCATATAAATATTAGCAATTAGAGTATTTAAAATATGGCAGCAGACTTTAGAATGTCCAAAACCTTGTAGTGAGCACAATATGCAGGGAACTTCTATTCAATGAACCCCATAGATTTCGAACCAATCCAAACTTGGTCAGAGTACATCTTGGTGACTATAGTATGACTTAAGGGAAATAGAATCCTACGACTACAAAGCATGATTCATGCATTTGTGTCATATTTCTTGAGCTAATAATCAAACTCCTAGAGTCCATCAGGATACTATTGATTCGATAGTTTGCAATTAGGGTCATGATGGATACATCATTTTATGGAATTTCATTTGCCAGTCAATTCACTTTAGTATAATAATAGTTGTCAATTCAATATTAGACATCCTTGAGGTACTCCTTGAGTTTACCTCTTAGATTTGATAAATGTGAGGCTAGCTTGATGATAAGTTTCTACTTATGCTCCATCATGTATTATCAGAACTACCCTAATAATGCATACCATATGTATCAAGATTGGTTCATTTTAGGGCTTCACTATTGGTGCTTTTGCTTATTTTCACCTACACAAACAAGGATAAAAGCAAGCTTTGGAGTTGTTAGCACTTCTCCATATCATGCCGTTGACTTCATTGTTGGTGTCCTTCTAAAGTTTGCTTAATTTTGAGGGCCTATATAAGCTGGACAATGAAGACTCTCATTGGAGTCAAGAGTTTTACAAAGTGGAGGTGGCAATGGCCTATAATCATTTTGCCGCACAACATCATGTACTTACCCTTCAAAAGGATGAGGTAAGAGTATTATATAATCCTCCTTCGATCATTGAAGAACCTTTCCTTTATCCCATGATCTATACGGCAAATTTTCTAGTCCTTGGAAAATTGTTTAAATTTTTCCTCCTATATTGAACTTCTCTTTCCTCTTTATGATTGACGAGCTTGTCTCATATTAGTAGTCTTATACATTGATATGATTGTTGGTGAGGTCAAGCTCGAGTATTGTAGACCAAATTTATATGGAAAAGAACCCTCTCTGAGGCGTGGAGTCAAAGTGACTTGTGCCATGTTTGACTCTAAATATTTTAAATTTAACATCTCTTTTAGAGATTGGGTAATAAAACACCTCAAAGAATTGCCATATTTGAATCACATTTACAATAATGTATGTAATTT